GAGACTAGGGTAGCCCAGATTGAATAATTCAAACCAGAGAGGATTAGTAAAATAACGGAAGAAGTGGAGATGCAAATCTGGAAATAAGCAAGAGGGTTTTGTCACTGTAGTGCATACTGGGTTAATGAAGCAAAGCATGGAAATTATATAGTTAATTTCTTTACTACTTCTGCAAGTCTTCCTCCTCCTGTCACCCACAGTTCCATTTCTCAAGGGATCAGATTCCTCATCCACAGATTTATGACCTTTGACAATTTAACTTCCTCCTGGTTTTAGCTGAATCTTTTCTCCCCTGACCTCACTGAAGGAAAAGATCTCTGAGAATTGTTGCCTGTGTTTGACAACTTAGGTTAGCCAGGTTAATGAACTGTTTAAAGTAATTCCTCATGCAAACAGGATGCAACATGTCATTTCAAGAATTTCCACCACTGATAATCGAACTGACATTGTAATAAGCGATGTGATCATTTTGGATATTCACTATCATTAGATAAATTTTCTGGCCACTCCACTCAAGACATCTGGTAAATTCATCTGTTAATTTGCAAATGAAAAGCATATCCAGCATGTATTACACTGATTCCTCTGGTTGGGCTGCAGTACTGGTTCCGCACAAGTGCAGAAAAGCAAATTTCATCTTCATATGTGACACCAGCTACTGTTCTAATACAGGCAGTTGTCTTGATAATGAAAGTTCTGACATTACACTCTTGTTCAGGGGATTTCTTCATTTACCCTCTTTTATTTAAAGAAGATTTATAATATATTTGTTTCTCTTTTACTCACAGAGCTGGAAAAATATGGAAAGCAGATCTGTAAGCTATATGGTCAGCCTCACTAAATACCACCCATCACTCCCTGAGTAGTTGTCTTTGCTTATTTCATTCCACTTATCACTGACAATTGTTCAGAATAAATTCTTAGTACTGATTCCTGTTGGTTTATGTGCTGCTGTTCTTGGTTTTTGCCTTTCTTTTTCTTTTTTTTTCTTTTTTTTTTTTTTTTTGAGTTCCATTTTTTTAAAATGATTTTTTCAAAGAAACTGTTATCTCCAGCTTAGTCCCATAACTGTTGAACTTCATAATTTGAGTCTTTGCCTACAATTTTGTCTCCTTAAAGGATCAATGGTCTATTTCACTCATTCCTAAAAGCATCTTAGTACAAAGCCACCAAATCTGTTTTCTCTGTTATACAAGATCTGGGCTGCTTTGCTGGACCACAAGAGCTGGTGTCAGATTAAGTCTGTGACACTAGTGCCACTGTGTAAGTTACTGATGGCAGTGAGTGCGTGCCACATGCCTACTGCCTGTAAGAAAGGTCTGACAGAGTTGCAGCTTTTGGATCTCTTCTTAGCTTTGAATATCTTAACTTACCTCTTTGCATCTGTGGTCAGCCCTAGCATTTTCGTCAAGTATAAAAAATTCTTGGTTTCCACCAAGACCCTATAAAATCAGGAAGGCTTTTCTTAGCCATTCTCTGTCCTCTATGTGCCTAATTTTTCTGACATGCCAGGTATTACTGAAATGTAGCAAAGATATTTCATGTTTGTGACACAAAACTTTTTGTACTACATGGAGAGTAAGTTTCTCAGAAATAGCCAGATATTCTTTGGGATTGTCTTTCCACTGTTTAAAATATAAACCCTGATACTTCTCATCTCTGTTGGGTGGATATGCATTTTAGTTCTTTTGAATTACCATTCAGTCTAATGTTGCTTTTAAACCCCATTGCTACTTCTGAGTTGAATACTTATTAACCATCATTTTCTTTCTAGTATTCACACGAAAGGTGTGTTGAAAGCATGTGCTAGTCTAAAAGATGTGTCTGAAGGCTCTTACTTGTCAGCTAAGACTACGTTCAGATATACAGGTTTGGTCAAAAATCGCATATGTGTATAGGTTTAGTTTCATGAGTTTGAGCAGAGAAACTGCAGTTTTACTGAAAGGGGTGGTTTTATCTCTTTACGCAGCTGTGCAACAGCATCCCATATAGTCAGTGGCTTACACAGGGAACAGAAGCCCAGAAGTTCCTAGCTCATATGTAAAAAATTCAAGTATTTTTCTTCCTGCCTCTCATCTGAAGAGGGAAATTGCAAGCTGGTATGTTTAAGGTCTTAATGTGGTTTTGCTTCTCCACCCTAAAAAAAAAAAAAAAAACAAAAACAAACCAAAACAATAAATTGCTATAGACAACAGCTCGTTTCCCAACTGCAATGTGCACAAGAAAATGTCTTTTAGCTTCTTGAAGAAAAGTGACAGCTACCAGTTCCATTCAGTTCACTGCAGCTGCTCATCTGATCCCCAGGGTAAGCATTCACTGCAATAAGCCACTGCCAGAAATGTTAATTTATCCGTGGATGCCCAAAGGCCACTAGCCTGCTCTGCTGTGCACCGCAGTGACTGCAGGCATCTAGACACAGGGTTAATGTTTTTGCCTTCAGATATGGAAGCCAAAGCAAGGGAAGGTATTGAGCAAGAATTAATGTGCACCCTGAGTTCATGCTGAACTCAGGTAGTGATTGTAGTGTGTGATAGAGGAGTCAGGAATGTGGGCAGAGCTGCTACCTTGGTTTAGGAAGTTGGGTGTAGGTGAGTAAGATCAGGTGAGAATAACCACAGAAACCGGAAATGCCTGAAATGATTCTGTAGGGAAAATGCAAAATGCTATGGGATTTATAACAGTTTGACAGTGAAAACTTTGATAAGGTCTGTAAAGCTATCTCCTAAATGCTAACATTCATTGTTTGTATTTCTCAACAACTGCTTTAACTTGCTGCCAATTGAAGTTGCCCAAATATTGTATGGCGGTTGTGATGAGCTGAAGGTGTATGTGAGGACAAGTTATTTGCCCCATGGCTTCCCAGGTGTGCTTTTTTTCCCAAGGTTTCCTGGTAAAGACAGGAATGGACTGAATAAAATACTGACTGTTCTGGTCACCTCCTTTCCTGGAGTCCTCTGACCCTTATCCACAGACAGAAATCACAAAGCTTACACAGCTGTTCAGCAAAGAAAGGGTTAACGCAATTAACAACTAACAAGCTGCTGTCAACATACCAGCTGCAACAGGTAAAAGAGATGAAAAGGAGAACGGTAGCTCTCAGTACAGGAAGAAAATACCTCACTCTTCAGGAAGAAGAAAGAGGTGCCTGCTCACAGGAGCAAGGTGAGCCTTAGCCTTGCTACAGCAATAGCTGGTGTTTTCTGGGTAATGGGCCTAGCTGGAGTGAAGAGATGCTTGGATGGCAGAGCTCTGGAGTGGAATAGGATGGATTTCTTTAGTTTTATACTGTGATGAAAAGCCTAGCAACAGTTGTGTGGAGCCAGAAGGTGGTTGTATGTCTACAAGGAGATAAATATGTAAGAACGAAAGCAAGACCATAAGCAAGGAAAGCAGCAGCTTGTCTAAACCTTAATACCTTTAAGACTGTCTCTTTGGAATATCTGTTTTATCCTGGCTCAGGTTACTTGGGTCAAGATTACCTTGTACCCAATCTTTCCTGTAGAGTGTGAAATATAAGATGTCAGATCAGATAACCTAAAAGTCTCTCTGGCCTTAATCTCTGAGTCCCTCTTGCTTTCAGACTGTGGCTTCCAATAAAATACTAAAGCTTATACGATCACCTTGGTATTCGGTGTGTAAAAGTTGCCATGATTAACAAAACAAAAAGCTAAATCGTTCTCATTTCACCCTGAAATGCAAAGGGAAAAATCACGAAGGGCTATTTCTAGGTCAAGCAATTCAGATCGAAGTGCAAAAACATTATCAAGCTTTGGTCAGTACATGTTTATTTATGTGAAACTATTCAGTCAGCTTTCTCCCAGGGGTTGCTTTAAAGCTTTTTATTTCATTCAAGTAAATAAAAGCAATTTCTCCTGCAAGTAATTATCACCCATTTCAGTGTTGTCATCCCTCCCTCCCTCAGCCAGTTCCTCTTGAGTATTCAGGTAGTTATATATCATTTCACCACCTTCCTTTAAGGCTGTGTTTGAACATGATTTCTATCATTTTTACCACTTGTCTCTCATCAGGAAACTGCACTAGAAGCAACTAAAACAAAACAAATTGTCATAATTTGAAACATATGCTTTTTATCTCTAATAGTCTGTATCATACTTAAATGGTACAATTTCTATAATACTTTTGTCTGCTGCTATCATCAGAATGCAATTTACTTGTGATTGTTGAAAATTATGTTTAACCATATTTTGCATCTCCAGTAGGCTACTTCTATCTGTGCATCAATTTCTGTCTTGAAGGAAGTTTTGCTCAAATCTGTTGTTCCTAAGTGCTATAAATACATGTTTGGTGGAGCTAGGATAATAAAAGCACAGTGATTTTTAGGTTTTTCTTTCGTTGTGAAAGAATCTGATTTTAAGAGGTAGCGTACATGCATTGAAGAGATTTAAGCACCATACCCTAAAGGTATCTTATTAAGCGCTAATTAACTTAGCGACTCCTTTAAGATGGCACGGTATGAAAAACAGCTGTTATAGTAAAACTAGATGATTGATTCCGCCCCCCCCCCCCCCCGCCCCCCCCATTTTAAGAAAAGCCCTTTAATTTCTGCTTCTCGAGTACGAGTAAAGCCATGGTGGTTGACCACCTTGGGGCAGGTACCAGCACATCCCCTTCCCCCCCGCAGCTGAACGCGACTTTGCGGTGCCCGCTCCGGCTGCTCCCTGCGTTCCCGAGCCCAGCCCGGCTTCTCCCGCCAGCCGCGGCCCCGCACCGCCGGCCGCCACCCGCGGCCCCCCGGCCGCGTTCCCCCTCAGGTACCGCGGCAGCGAAGCGCGGCGCCTCCCCGACCGCCCCGCCGCGGTGTCCCCGTTCCTCCGTGACCGCTCTCGGGCAGGGCGAGGGGGCGGGATCCTCTTCCCTGCGGGCCCCCGACTCCCGTGTCGTGGTAAGCCCGGGCGGGGGTCCTCGGCAGGGGGGCGGCGGGCGCCCAGCGCGGCTTCTCACCGGGCGGGGACCGGCAGGCGCCCAGAGCCGTTACTCACCGGGCAGGCAGCGGGGACCGGCGGGCGCCCGGCGCCGCTCCTCACCGGGCTGGGGCGGGCGGCGGCCGTCACTCGCCGGCCAGGCGGCCCCCGGAGCCGTTACTCGCCCCAGGCGGCGGCAGCCCCTCGCGAAGCGACGCGACACGGCGCAGCCCCACGCGCGCCGGCGGCAGTGCGCGGGGAGGGGCGGGGGCGCGGGCCCTACCTGAGAGCGGCGGAGGGCGGGGGGCGGCCGGCCATGGCGGCGGCGGGACCCTCCGCTCCGGCCGTGTCGGGGCAGCAGGAGCGCGGACCCGGCGCGCTGCGGCGCGCAGCCTCCCGGCCCTACCCTCTGCTTCACTCCTCCCCTGGCCGCCTCCCCCGTCCCTCCCTCCCTCACGGCCGGGCCCCGCGGTGGCGGCGCGCCCCGGGGCAGCGGTCAGCCTGGCTCCCCGCCCGCGGCGGGTCCCAAAGCGGCACCTCAGTCACGGGCTGGCCGGGCGGTCACCCACGGCAGCGCCGTCCCCGGGACCCCTCGCACCTGCGGGCGCCCGGCCGGACCGCGGCTGGTTGGGGTTATCTCGGTTTGGCTGAAGCGATGGAGAGGGCTGCACCGAGTCCAGGACGCCTGAAGAAGTTGCTGGCGGTGCGGGAACGGGGACGTGACAGCGAGGCGCTGGGTGGCTCCAGCAAGAAAACGGCGATCGTTGCTGACTCTCGTTAGGAATGTCCCGATGTTCTTAGAGCCCCAGCCCTGTAAACCATGTGATGTAAATGACAAGGGTTTCCGTCTTTCGATCTTAGATGCAAGACTTGGAAATTTAGAAAAGGAGCCTACTTAGTTCACTGCAACTTTTATCTTGTTCTGAGCTCCTTTAGACTGTTTTCTTTGGTTACTTGCAGCAGTCTTTTTATTATTTTTTTATTTTCCAGAAAATACTAAATGTCTTGTAGCTTGCCTTTGTCGTCTTTGTGCACCCAGATCTGAGAATCTGTGCAGTACAAATTATTAGAATTGGTCTCTAGTCATGAAGAGGTGAGATTAAAAGCATCCGAGTCACAGGTGATGCATGGTGCAAACCGAAGTTATTTGCCAACCCTGAGGTAGAGTGTACACAGAGCCTCCTGGGTTCGGTAGGAGTCCTTTGGCTCGGGTGTGAAATTTGCAAGGCTGGAGACAGCTGTCATCATTTTGTCATTGCTGGCAAGATCCCCCTTTTGCTGACACTTGTTTTCAATATGTTTATGATCTAGGCCAGAGCTCAAGGTCTGCTCTTGTCCAGTTACAGGATGAGTACTTCACTTCTGTTAGTTATGTAACAAACACTGTGCTCAGCCGAGGAATTCAGCAGCAAAACCATGTCAAGAACTTACACGTATCCACAAACACTGCTGGGAGCTTGACTGAGGTATGGTGAGCCCTGTTCTTTAGTCACTGCTGTGTCCAGAGATTTGCTGAGTGAATTCAAAGACAAAGAGGAAGGACAGGTGGCAAGGGCAACTCTATCCATGCTTTGACAACCATCTTTTTCTTCTGCAGTAAAGATTCAGTGTTTCTCTCCTCTAAATGCGTCATTCCCGTGTCTTTTCTACACTTTGCTGTTCCCTTTACTTGGCACAACATTATGAAATCATGAAGTTTAGTGAGTTTTGGAAGGGCCTAGGACATGTGGGAGGAATTATTTTATATATTAAATCAGGTTTTGTTCTCTGTTCTGATTTACAATGCAGAAATTCCTTAAACCAACTTTGCAGCCAGAGGCATGGTATCATTAAACTACTGAACCAACGTTTTTCATGGTTAAGGAAGACTACCTGAAGGGCTTGTTGTTTGTGACTTTTGCATAAGCAAGAGGAGAAAGTTTCATGTTAATTTTTAAATACCTCTTAATCCATATCCTTAGCAAAAAGTCTTATCCCTGCTGTTGTAGCAGTCATCTGTCTACTTGTGAAGTGACAAATGGGAGATAGCAAGGCTGATAGCTACATTGTGGTGGCTAAGCGTAAATGGGAATCAAAGCAATGGAAAGTGTTGAGTTTTAAATGGAAAGTGGAGAAGCTGAGAAAACTAGGAGACACGACAGCCTCTTAGGGGAGCACTTGAAATATGCTGGCCTAAAGCCAGCCCATCTAACTTCATAAAGGCTCTGAATGAGTGGAAAGTCCTGAAATCTAGAGCCAGACAAACCAGAGACTTTACCTGCTTAAATGCAAGCCCAGGTTAGTGTTGAAAATAGTTGTCTGTATGAAACATTACCCACTCTGTTTAGTGCCTGAATGTTAGCCCCTCTGACATCCTCAACACTGTGGCATACCTATCTCACTCTCTTCCAATGCTCTTGCACCCTTTCATTCCTGGAAGCAGGCTGTAATGCCCTTTCTTTCTCTTCAGTTCTCACCACACAAGTTCCATGTTTTGGGATGACTCAGACACCCAGGTCTGTTGTGTCCCTCAACCCTGTTGACTCTGCTTCTTGTCAGCTCTTCACTAATACACACCACTGCCCTACCCATGTAGTGCTTAATATTTTCTATCATCTTCCACTTGATCAGTTACTTTAATTTAATTTGTCTTCTTTAAGTCATTTTTACATGACTTTGCATCAGATCTCCAGTTTTGTATTTTAAGTGTCCTATTTTCTCTTCCTCATCACGGCATTCCTTTTCTGATAAATTTAGTCCTGTTGCCACCAAGCTTCTAATCTTTCACAAGTTCTTCCTCATTCAGTAGCTTGTCTGCTCCTCCTTCACTGTCATTATCTTATCCTTTTTATGTCACTGTCAATGTTCAAGCACTTCTGCCCCAGATATTTACTGTTATCTCAGATTGAGTCCACACATCAATCTATCTAGGTGTCTCTTAGGTTGCATTTAGGCTACTAATTAAATCTGGTTGAGGCCTGTTTGCTGGCCCCATGGGCAGAGAGTAGGACAAATCACATGTCTAAAATGTATAAACTACCTTAGTTTTTAAAGCAATGTGACCTCATTCAGACTGCTTTTTTTTTTTTTTTTTTTTTTTTTTCTGAACAGAAAACACTAACAATTAAAGAGTACCACTAGTCATGGGGCTGTGCCTGACTCTGCTGATGCACACAGATGTCTCACACACAGGCAGTACCAGTCATGTAGCATGGCTGGCTATTTCAGTCATTAATATGCTCAGATTTCTTACCTAAATTCTCTGATACCTTCCCTTGGACACATCCTGAGCATCTCAGCATTTCTCCATTCTGTGCCTCCTTTTCTAGGTTTCATGTTTTTTTGTACTGTAGTTACTTAAACCTTGTTACCACCAAGGGTAAGGCAGTTAATGTTAACTCATCCCTGTGATGCTATATTTTAATTTTGAAGAAGAGGCTAAGGCATTACTTGCCTACAGATGTTCTGTTTGACTGTCTCATGCCATCTCCCATACCTAACTCTTCTTTTACCGTTTTCTCCCTTACTTCTTTCACTTTTAGTCCCTTTACATATATATATATTTTTTTCTTTTTTTTTTTTTTTTTACTCCCTTGTGCCCTCTCAGCTATTCTGCTTTAAGTCCTTTAACTTTATAGATATGGTTTTCACATTCCAGTTTCTAGGTATCAGAATAGCCTCTTCAGTATTATTGAGAAGGAAAAGGACAGAGAGACCTTCAGCCAGGGACAGTTCAGAGAAAGGAAATGACCGTTTTCTAACGGTGATGATTGCACTCTAGAAGTTCATAGCAGATTTTCCACTCTAATTTCAGATTGTCTGCTCTTGTCAGTTATCAGGGGGAAGAGCTCTGTGACAGAAAAAGGGAAAAGGAGAGGTTTTTCCCTCATTAGAGGGGGGGTGTATTTATTGCTCAATCTCATTTTTATATTTGGTCTTTGTTCCCTGACATGATACGGCTCTGAACCATCCGTTTTCCATCACAGGCACTGCCACTCATCTGTCCCTTACTCCAGCAGATAGTACTGAGATTACACATGTACTGGTTCTGTCTTTGATTTTTATCACTTCCTTATAGTTGATGTGAAGCCCTCTGATTCTCATCTTGTAATTTGATTCCTTCTCTCTTTTGCACTAGTAACTCTTTGCTGTTTGGCTCTATCATCCTGCAAGAACTCCACAAGCGTGTCTTGTACAGACATGGGCTCTTCTATTGCTTCTTCTCACCATTTCAGAGCCCTTCTTTAAACAGCCGTTATGACTTGATTTCTTCACAATCTACCAGAAAACTTTCTTGTTTCAGGTAGCTGGCTCTCCTCTTTGCCGAAAGCCCATAGTCTTTATTTCTGAGGGAAATAGCCAAGTACTACTTTGTGTCATTGTTCTTATTCCTTGACAATGTTGGCACGTAGCCTAAAAAAAATATTCTTTTTCTTGGAACTCAACTTGATGGAAGAGAACTGATTACTGTCACACATTGACTTATTTCAGAGCTGTCACCAGGAGTGTATTTTTCCCTCAGCTTTTAGATATGATTTGGCAACAGGAAGAGAATACTGTGGCATTTTAGTTAGCTGTCTGTCTTTTATGTGTCAGCCTAGGACACTGTTCCCATATTGGATAACAGAAAGTCATGGCCAGATAATACAATATTCTTATATTTTAATGATACAGACTATTCTAGTCATTTGCCTTAAGATTTTGCTGGTTTAGACTTATAAAAATCCAAGGGGCAACTTAATAAATCAGCCCTTCCACTGGGAGGATAGGCAGAATAAACTGCTGCAGAGTTGTTAGTATGAGCTGACAGAAACTGAAACAGCAGCACCAAACAGAGCTGACTGTCACACAAGAAAATATACCAATCATTCCTGAAAAGTCAGAGGGAGCCAAACTTCCACTAAGACTTTGATTTGGCTCCAGCCATTCTTGGGGATATTCAAAATCCATCTGGACATGGTCCTGGACAACCTGCTCTAGCTGACCCTGCTGAGCAGGGGTGTTGTAAGTGATCTCAAGAGATCACTTTCAACGTGAGCGATTTTATGCTTCTGTGGCTTTGAAGTTTTGTTCACTTTCAGTAAAAAAAAAAAAGTCCCCCAAAACTGTGCTTATGCGTGACTTGGTTTGTCCCAGGAAATCTATCCAGTCTATACTGATTCTGTAACTGGATATTTTCAGGAATAGTTCAGTGTTGCAGGGGACAGCGGAAAACAGTGTTGTACTTTTCACTTCCCTTTGCTTGTCTTATGAGGTGTTTTTTACAAAGCCCTCCTAACTAGAAATACAAAGGTGGA